AGATTTCGGGAAGATTGATGAATTTCTGTTTCCGATTTTCCGCCAACTCCAGTGTATGTTTTTATCGGGTCTCCCAAAACAGTGCACGTATAGCGATGAATGATTTTTCGGAATTTATATGTAAGCTTGTAAAAATGAAAAATCAGTTGTCGGCAAAAAGAAAAAAAAAACAACAACAATGCCATCAGCTCGAATGTATACATTATTGCGGTGCTGACGTGCAAATCCGATCGTTAAAAAATACAGAATCGTTGAAAAACTATTGGAATAAAAAATTTAAATAAAAATCATCATAAAAACTATACAATTCTCAGTTTCGTGTCGAAACTCAAAACTTGTTAAGTAAAGACAATTAATCTAGTTGTTCACTGAATAAAAAGTAACATTTTTTTATTATTATTAACACAATTATTTATTTTAATAAATGTCAATAAATCATTTACTCGTGAATAGAAAAAAATAGCTGAAAATATATTAAGAAAAATTATATTTATGATTACAAATTTTATGTGTGTTTATAAATAATTGATCTAAAATCAAATTAATAAATAATAAAGAATTTAATAATTGATTAACTAATAAAAACATCAAAATAAATTTTATTAAAATAAGTAAAAACTAAAAGTGGTTTTTTTCGGTGAATAACGGGTTATTTTTAACTTTTATTTATTTGTTCACTATTCGAAAAATATTTGCACAACTTTGAAATATTTTAGGTATTGTCCAATATTTGTTTTCATTTTTAGCTTTGATGCAAAGCGAGAAGGTACTGGTTTTACTCTGATGTGTGTTTTTTTTTATCTGTATACACTGTAACTTTTTTAATACTGGACCAATTCCTTCGAGTAGCAACTCTATAAATCACAAATTTTATCTAGTTGGTACTTTGGGGGGGGGGGTAAAAGTTGAAAACGTTTACTTCTTCACAGACGAAATTTGAAAAAAAACCGTAGTATTTCATAGCGTCTAAGCTGTTATTTAGCTTGTATAATTTACTTTTGAATTGAACAACATGGAACGAAAATGGACGGTCTTGTGTATTACTTGGTACGTACATACAACTCGATAACCGTTAGACTTACGGTTAAAGTGTAATGGATAAAAATTAAAGGCCGTCAAATTTACCACAGGAATATGCTAAGTTTTATACTTTGTTTATCACAAAATAGCCGTAAGTACAACTTTTTAAAGAAAACAAAATTTAATTAAAACAATTTTTTTTTAAAACGGTGGTAACCAAACGACAACGGTTATAAAATAATTTATCTTTTACTTTAAAATAGATGATTATGTATAAACTTTAATTTCTCAATAAATAATTATAATATAATATTTATTTTATCTTTAGCAGTCATGTCTAATTTAAAGAAAAACGCAAAACTATAATAGTCGGTTTATAGCCAAAAATGTAATCTACCCTTCGCACTTTGCTAATTATTTAAGAAAATGTCGGTTTTGGAGGAAATCGTCGAAAGATTTGTTTGGTAGTAAATTTAACATTTAACAAAATTGTATAGATGTAAATTTTTTGCCAAGTTGAATTTTTTTAAGAAAATAGCGAAAAACCAATTTTTCTCATATTGACTACAGTGTAGTCGAACGCAATAGTTTAGTCATAATTAATTTATTCATAACTTAAAGTTAAAATTTGTACTCGTGAATATTTTTACTTCTTATTGTTGGATTACAATAATCATGATTAAAAAGTTAATCTGTGTAATATGTTATGGCTAAAATAATTTTTTATCCACTTGAATGAAATTAAAATTGAAATGATGACACCATTATGATGACAATATCCCTTTCGATATGATCTTTACTCTAGCAATAATCGATTTGTATATAGATATATCGATATAATTCTATATCAAATTATTAGGTCGTTAATTTGTTATAGTAAGTCATTTTTTTTTGTATGACTAATAATTTTTGGTACATACAATTACAACTTTTTTTTTAAATTAAATTTTTTTTATCAGTTGTCTTTCGGTGAAAATTTAACTATAACAAGATTTATGTTTTCTTATGGTAAATTTGACGGCCTTACATTTTTATCATTTGTACTTTAGCCGTAAGTCCAACGGTTAACCGGTTATAAGGAGAAACGACAAGGGGTCGCTAATACACTTTTTAATGGATGTAAAATTATGTACAAAAACATAGAGGCTTTTAGTATGATAATCAGTTGAGTATGGAAGTTCATACTCAGTTAAGTTTGTGATTATACATTAGTTTGTTATTCTACAATATTAGACAGTACTCTATACAATTTTAAACTTAAATAATAATACATATATTTAATGAGCTTTTTAAATTTAGAATAATTTGCTGGGAATTTTGGTTGTTCGCTCACTATTTTTGGATAATTAACATACTATTGTAAATACAATACCTTCTCAGCTCAATACCATCGCTGGAGTATCAATAATTATTTCTCCGTAAGTTACATGTTATTTTTGGTTAACTTTTTCCCTTTAATTTTAAAGGGAAAAGGTGATTCGTGGAAAGAACTCTACTTGCGGCGAAAACCATTTTCACGGAAGAACTTCGACGTATAACAGTTACTTAGTATTTTAAAAGTAAACCTAATACAATATTCATTAAATGAAATAAACGGAAGTCTGCTGTTTTTCAGTTTACCTTGTTTTCAATTTTCGGTAGCAGACGCAAATCGAATTTATACTTAACTAATGTAAGAGAAACCGTCGACCGGAAACTTTTTAATTATTAAGATAAAATATATTTATTTACGAACGCCAAATAGCCTTAGGTACACAATATTTTCTAAAGTTTATAAATAATACTTATAATCACAGTGTGAGATGAAATCATTTAATTTTTGAAATCCCGAAGAAAATCAATTAGTCGCCAAAATAATTACTCCGAAAATACACCACTTCCACGTAACTTGGGGGGTGTAAATATAATATATTAATGACGGACGTTAATAGGGGTTTGACCATACTGCATATCCAACGAGTTATACAGTAGTGCCTAGTGAGTAATGTGAGTAATCACACTATAGAGGCAGCTTGATTAAACCTAATGTAATATCGAGTCTTAACATTTAAATACTATCTCTGGTATCCAGAAAACTATGTCTTACTTAATGCGTGGCCATTAAATGTGTACCGGGGAGAGGGGGGGGGGAAACAATTCGTTAAAAATCTTGTAAAAAATAAAACAGTTGCTTATTTGTTTGAAATAGTTCCAAACATTATAAATAGTAAATACTTATAATCGTTAGTAATATTATTATATAGCTGTGCATAAAATATTCGCCAGACTTTCCATAAGAATCTTAGTTTTGATAATATCACCGTTTAATATAACACAAAGCGTTGACCGGTAGCTGATGTATAATGTCAATAACAACGTCAATTTGTTTTATTAAATGTTTTTGTTATATTTTGTAATAATTAACGAATATTAGGTAACATGTTCAAAAGTCCGATAGAAGACATAATAATTGTAATAATAGTAATTATATAATAATAGATAAATATCATATAATGGGGAAATTAAATAAAGTATAAAAAGTTTAAAAGTTTACAACTATATATAATAATTATTAAAAACAACATTAGTAATATGTTTGCAAAGAATTTAAGGATAATAATAAGAGTAATTTAAACACACGAGATTATAATCAGTTTACTTATAGTAATTAACTATCATGTTTTACACTTTTTTTTAACGTTTTATGTCTTTGTGTGCCTTAAAAGAAATACGTTTAACAGTGACGAATGGTGATAACGTTAATTTTGTTTTAAATAAAAAAATAACGAATATTTATTTTACATTGTTATCGTAATAAAAACAAATAAATGACAATTTAAGTATAATTCTTAAAATCCAGTAAGTCATACCGATAATGTATTTCATGTTTATTTCGGTGGTGTTCGAGACAAAGCAAAAAAATTTTAAATTACACATACTATGCAATACGTGTGAAGAGTTAATTTAAAAAATTGAGTGCAACTAAATGACACAGTAACATGTTTTTTCCTATTTTGATGTCCATTGACCAGTGTATATTATGTCAGTAAGTTGCAATTAAAAAATGACAAGTTGATCCCAAAGCACATCGATAACAAGATTGTTTTATGTAATAATATTATTTAGTAAAAATTTTGGCACAACAACAACACCAATGATAACTACATAGGGATCGGAAATTAAATTATATCAAATTAAAACAAAACAAAAAAAAAACTCCAGTACAGAAACTATAAAATAACAATAATTACATAATATGTGAAATTTATATGTAACAAAGTTGATATGGACAACAACAATAACAATATAATGATAACTTAATGTTAATAAAAAGAAAACACAATAGGTGACTGAATGTTATCAATGTCCGTTTGGGGTGAAAACACATTTTTATTTGACTTACGTACGTTTATTTCACCATATGTATAGAAATGTAAAATGTATGAATGCAATGAAGAATATAAAAAAAATCTAAATTACATCATACATAATTACATGAGAGAATGTATATAGTATATATATTATAGTAGCTAGTTCTGAAAAAAAAAACATAAAAAATATACACATTTTATTGTTTTATAATTAAAAATATGTGTAATAAGGCACGTAAAATAATTTGAGAAAAATGCAATATTTGTAATTCAAGTTTAATTTAATATTCGTTTCGCGTTAAACATAGTTTTAATTTATAATTTAACAATATAATTTTTTTGCCATGTTATAGTCAGATCATTTATTTTAGTTAGTAGCGGCATAAAAAAAAGATAATTATTTTGGAAAATATCACCTGTAAAGAATAAAAGGACAAACCAATATGAATAAAATGTTTGTGTTGGAAAAATGTGTGTAAAGATATTTGAATAGTTTAGTGTAATATTTGTAAAACAACTTAATTCTGAACGCGATTTGATCGTTTTCTTATAGTTAAAGAAGTTGTTTTTTTTTACTATTTTACTGAAAATAAATACAAATTTGTTGAATATAATATTATTATGCTCTAACCGATAACGGAATTGTACAGTATATTTTTAGTTTCGTCTAAAGACTAATAATATAGGTATAATAATAGTAAATAATGAGATATTTATTTTAATAGTATTTAAGTATAATATTATTATAATTACATAACAAATTTAATAATATTTAAACGTTATAATATTATATTACAATTCGAAAAACCAGTCTTGCCATAACAATAACACAAACATAATATTATTATTATTTTGTTGTAGTCATAATTAAGTAACTTAACTAAGTTTATAAGCAGTTTAACATCTCCAGCCCGACACCGAAAAACGAATAGTAAACCAAATTAAAAATTAGTTTAACACAAATATATACAATTTACAAATCGAAACGATCAGCTGCTAACTAAATAACCATGAGATTAATGGAAATCGGTATCAAATTTGAGATACATGCATGATTTTTTTTTTTAATATTCAACAAATTTTGCAACTTTGATCGGTGGCTGTAAAGTCTTTTGATGATATCAAGTGAACAAGTCAAGTGCACGCTGTTGTGTGCTCGCCACAACCGTTAGGACACGAGGCCATGTTGATGATCATTAATAAAGTCGTCCAGGCGTTACTCGTTAGCGTGTGAGTGTAATGAACGGTTGTTAAACCAGAAACGGAAATTACTCTAAGCCCTCAGAGTGGATAAGGGATGTTCGCATATTATTGTTATTATTGTGGGGAGTTTACATCTCGGGAGACATCGGTGAAAAGAGTCGGTGGTGCGTTGATAACCGGAACAAAAAACTAAAAGAATACAAATTTCGTACAGGGGATTTTCGCGCGTTCATCAATTAATAATAAATAATATTCCTTTGAAAACGTTAACAATACAATATTTTCATCCAAAGTATTATCGCGTTATAGCTACGCCAATACTGTTGTATTGTTTAAATTTATTAATGAAGTGAATACAATAAAAATGTATATAAATTCACACTACCGCGCTATATTATCACGTTTGTATAACATGTTTTAATATTGTTATAATCGTTTTCCGCTTTTATATTTCATAATACAACATCTTAATCGTGTAGGCTGAATTATTGTTACACGTATGTATACACTGTCCTGCTTAGCAAAAATTCCGTAACTCAAAAAAAAAAAAAAAAAATGATAAAAAACCGAATACACCGAGAAAAAAACATTTTACTTTGTTAAATTCGAGTTACGGCACTTTTGAAAAGGAGGACAGCATAAATATTTTTTTTTTTTTTGGCGCGTATAATAATCAATAAAATAAAATTACTAATTAGTATGTATAATAATAATAATAATAATTGTATTTTTACATCCCTATTTACAATAGTTGACACATAAATCATGCGTTCGTTTCAATTGTGGTCGACACACACAAAACGACAACATATAAATATACTATTATATTATTATATTTAGTGTAATCATTGTGTAATTTTATAATATTTTTATCTCAGTCAAACTAATCGTCCCATTTGGGAAAAGCGGACGGCGACACAAACATGCTGTTATCTTTGTTCGGGTCAGGCGGCGGCGGCGGTCCCAGGTTGGTCGGCCTTTTCGGTTCGGTGGTGCTCTTGCCGTCCACGCTGGTCGTGGCGACTGGAGACGGTCTTGGCGGAGGTCGACTTGCCGGCGGTTTCGCTTGCTGTTGCGTCGAAGCCGGTGGTCGTTTGGTCTTAAGTTCTATTCGTTCGTCTTCGTCCACCGCCGGTTCCAACGTACTGTGCTTGATGCCGTAATAGAAATATACGAATAAACCTGGTAAGAAAAAAAAAATATATATATATATAATATATTATGTAGTTTTACGGGAAAGCGGTTAGTAAGTTAAAAGAGTCCGACCGGCCGATTCACCGCCGACCCGGTTGTCTAAACTGTCAGGTTAAGTCGAAATACGAGTCGTGGACATATTTCCGCTAGAATGTTATTATAAACCCGGTGAATTGTAAAAATAAAGAACTAAGTAATATTAAACCCACGTTGTCGAAAAGTTTGTTAATATTTTCTAAACGTTATTCGAAACCATTGTTTTTTTAAGTATTATAATCATATTATTATATCCTATATTTTACTTAAATATATTTTAAATATATTTTTATACTTCAATAAAGACATTTTGTAAAACGTTATTTTTGAACTTATAAGCTACCTGGTTTCAAAGGTAGAACCTTTTTTATTCTGAGTTTAAAAAAATGACGTTAAAAGGATACCATTATTAGAAAACTAACTATGTTAGCTATTACACCGGCCTACATATTACTTTGTTAGCCTCAAAGGATCAGATAAGGTTATAAAGTGAATTTACCAAGTTATTATTATTATTCAAGAGGCTATTATTATTCAACAATGTTAAACAAAGTTAAATGCGCTATTAATTTTAATCTTATGATGTTGTTACGTTAAAAAAAATTGAATTAATAAAATTATATAGTCATTCCTATTAATGATAATTGCAGTGCTTTTTCAATCTAAATCATTTTAATATTATGATCGTTTATAGATTATACTGAGTTATTAATTATCATTAGTAATAATACGTTCTGCCCATGAAGTCATATTATGCGATTGGGTTGGAGTAGAAGTAATTAAATGACATACAGTTGTATATATTTGTATTCAAAAAGTACAAAATCTTTTTTTAAAATAAATTTAGAACTATTAATTTTGGAATAACACCGATTGGGATTAACAACATTTTAAAAATAACATAATGAACAGTGTAGTTACTCTGCGCTAGAATGCGGTCCATATTTACTAGTAAGATTGGAATTTAACTGTCGCTACGACTTGTACACTTACCTATTGACACCCATACGACGATCCGCAGAAGAGTCATCGAGCTCAGTTGAAATATCAAGTACAAATTAACGGCAATGGAAAACGCCGGCACAAACGGAACCCACGGAGTCTTGAACACGAGTATTTGCCTGTAATAAATATATTATAAAATTTAAACAGTTTTTAATAATTAGCTATTTTTAGTATATGTTTCGTGATGGGTCTTGGAAATGTACAAATAAAAAACGGAGTCAGAAACTATTGCTGTCGTTTTGAAGTTAACTAACGGTTATACATTTTATAGATATTTTTAGCAGTAAAGTGAGTTCAATGGCAATATGCTCTCAAGCATATTTTACAGCCTAGATATAATACGAATATACATTTTTTACACTGTATAATATAATATACACTTATCTGAGGACCAAAGAATTTTTAATATAACTTAAAAAAAAAAAATTATATATAGTGTGTAAAGTGTTAACACATTTTATAGTCTTTTACGTTATTAAAATACCGAGAGTCATCTCAACTGAACAACTTTTACAGGGCGCACAATTTAATAACGCATGCAATCATTCCTTTTTTTTACAGTTTAACAGTTTAAATGCAATGTCTTTACATTCTTTATGTGAATTGTAAAATTGCTTTAAGCCAAACCATTGAATTTGTATACACTACAGGTATAAATTATACTGCGCAATATTGGTTTAACAAAAAAGTTAATTTTTTTTATTTCTCAGTATCGAAGGAAAATCATGATATATATACATAAGTAATGTTAAGAAATAATTTTTTTAAAAATTATAATCAAGAAAAATATTTAAATACATAATCCAATTATAGTTTAAATATATATTTAAATCGCTTTTATCAAAGTCAATATTATTTTGCTTGTCTTTCTTTACACTTTACAGTATAACGGTCAAACGACATGTCGCCCCTTAAACAAAACAAGAAGTTTTTAAAAATGCAATTATAGGACTTTTCGGTATAATGTAAATATTTTTACTTCGAAAACAATTTGAATACAACTTTGTGGCGAATAAAAAAATATTACAAAGTTTTCATTGTAAAAGTTGTAGTTTCTGAATATTTACATTTTTTATTTTTGCGATGAACAATAAAATAAATTACACAAAAAATTAAAAATATTTCATAAAACAACAAAGAACTCACTCATTGATGTTGTTCAAAAATAGTACCGCAGTACTACCAACACTGGCGAATAACCATTGTTTTTAAATACTTAATATTAATGACATATAACATACCATTTTTTTAGATTTATTAAAAAAAAAATGTATGACATTTTTTAAAAAATATTTCAGAAACAAAATCAATGTATCATGAAGAACTCTACCCACATGGTTTAGACGTGTGTGGGAGGTACTGAAGGACAATAGGCTTATAGATGTATCCTAAATATAATATATTTTATAAAAAAGTACTTATGAATTATTTATAAAGCTAAAGGCTGAATTTTCCATTATATATTTGTAACAAATTTATTTTTGTTTGTTTAAATATACAATTATGTAAAGATGTTCTGTAATATTCCAATTGAAAAAACAAACATTTTTTTTTTTTTTTTTGTAGGATTCTATCGTTTAAAAATTGATTTACGACCGTTTTCATTAGTTAAGCTTAAACATTAAATATATGGTTAAACAATTTTAAAAGTGTAGTAAAATGTCAAGCCAAAATGGTAAAAACGGTCATCGGTGTTTTAAAATTCAAGAAATAATCTAGTCAGTTTCCTGATGCTGTTCAATGTCTGCTCGACCTAACCAAACTGTAAGCTGACCATCGTTTTGGTCTTAACACTTGTAACTTTTAGTTTAACGGTCTGTTAAAGTGACAAATTCAACAGCAAACAATGGTCGTTTAGTGATGTGCCACAACATATTAACAGGTTTATTGTTTATCTTTTTTCGGGGTCTGAAACTTTAGGGATTTCTCACTTTAATAGGCTACTATCGATTGCGGATGAGAAACCACCATCGGCAGCGTTGAGCCTTAAAGGCCCGTTAAGCTACACGATGATGACTATCGATTGGGGGGGGGGGGGGTGGGGAAGTAATTAATATATTTTTTTTCTCGAAATATAAAGTCATGTCGCTCACTTGTTTTGCGGTTTGCGCGATATGGCGCCCAAAATCGCCAACAGGGCGATCAGCAGCGCGTACAACACAACGTAGGTGACCACCGACGAGTCCGGCGAAATGACCACCAGCAGCACGTCGAACACAATGACCAGCACGTAGAACACCCCGACCAACTTGAGCACCATAAAACCGCTCTCCTCGGTGGCGGGGCCCGTGTCCACCCAGGGGAATATGGCCGGGCACAGGTAAGTGGCGGCCTGCGAAAAAACCGACAGCGGAATGAAACAACTGTATATTGCAGCAGCCGCCGCATATGTAAGGTGAGACGGCTCGGTCGCAAAACACAATAAACACACACATTAAATGATTAACGACAGGGCAACCGGCTAACGACTCTACCGTGTGTGGGCTATGTGCACAGCCAGCTGTCACCCAGCCGACAATAAGACCCGCACAGTAAGTTTATGTTTCACCGTAGCCGAAAACGTGATTTCGGTATTTCCTTTGGTTACAGCTTTTTTTTTAACGAGTGTATTATATACAAATTTCAGCCAAAACGACGACGTCGGATCAAGTTGTTCTGTTTGGTGGTCATTATTCTGTATTATTGTTACGGCGGCTATAGGAACCGAATGAAATTATTAAAAAAAAAAAATAGAAATAATAACTATGTAAGAAAAAATCCGTTTACACGTTCGGCAATTAAAAACTACACCACAGCGTATAACAATGATTATGACTGGAAATTATGTGAATATTACATTATGGGTGTATTGTTGGACTTTAGGTTTGTCCCGTTGAAACGTCCGTCCCGAACCTGTCAAACCGGCCGAGTATGGGAGCAACTGTTCAAGTCTTGTAAACAATGTAGTAAATAAACCTATGACTGTCCTATCTCACTGTCATCTCAGAATAGTGTCCAATTATTACCTTTATAGACCGGCTGATGTTTGCACTGGCGGCGCTGAATCCACTGGGCGGTGCCGTAGAACCAGCCGTGGATCCCCCGTGAACCGAACCGTAGAACTTGCTCTCACACCTGTCCGACACTAAGTACTGGTCGTCACGTCCCTCTTCCGAATCGTCTCCAAAGTACGTGTCGTCCGAGTCCGGAGAACTGAAACATTTTTTTTAAAAAATTACCATATATTATATTTTTATACTCGCCGCCGTTATTTCTAACGTCGTTATTTTTAGACACAAACTCTAGGGGGGGGGGAAATTGATCAAGATAGGTACACAAAAATTTGATTGCGTTTAGATGATTTTCAATTTAACTTCCAACATTTCACCCGTTCGCGGCTCCTGTAGGAATACTCGGTTAGAATGTAGCATAATAAACTGTAAAGGTAAAACAAGTGGCAGCCACGTTATAGTAATATAAGTACAAGCTGCACAAGGTGTACGGTGATGTTTATAGAACAGTGAAGTACACTTGGATTACACTTAAGCATAATGAAAGGTATGAATTTCGTATAATACATTCATTCATAAAATATTAATACCTACTGGTCATTCTGTGCGAGTGTCGGACTTTGTTCTTTAACGATAAGAAATTGATTTAAAATTATCTACCCAAAAGAAGCGATATACCGTACTTTGTGAAATATCTGCATCAATCTAGTCCATTAACGCTATACATAAATTATTGTACGAGCATTCGCTAAAATTCTACATTGTTATTCATTAGTTTTTTTTTTACAAAGAGAAAACGGCGTTTAAATGAATTATTTATTAGCCACCTAAAGACATAAATAATTCATACAGTCGGGTGCTGTAGGTGAGTAATCATTAGTTTGCCAAATAAGTAATTCAAACATAACAAAAGCGAATGGATTTACGGCGAGAAATAAAATCCAGTTGCTAGTGAGTTTCCGAAGAAACAAAGTTGGTATCTTTTAACGTACTATTATAAAAGGACCAGGCGGCAAATAGGGTGTGTAAAGCGAAGGCGGTATTAACATAAGCAGTTTCTCGTTACAACAGTATGCCATTATATTTAGACGGTTTTGGCGAGAAAGGGTATAAGTCAAGTAATACGATTTTTCAGGAGACAAAAAAAACTTGATAATTTATGCAAGGAGTAAACATCTCACCAAAAATAATGTTTTCACTTATAGCTATAAAACTACAATTGTGAATAAAACAATGTAAACGGGTGATAAGTGATGAAAAAAATATATATTTATTCAAAATATTACTTTACGTCATAGTACCCTTTCTCACCAAAACAGTCCATTTTCAGTACTGCTATTTGTCATACATTCAATACAAATATTTTGTCTGTGTGAAAAAACACATAGGATTTTATTTTTATCCGGTCCGTATAAGCTGAACTGATGAAATTCCTTTCAAAGTTTTAAGGAAAAACACCCGAATGGCTTAGCCGTAGCCGATTTGCTGTTTCATTGTACAATGGTTTTCCAATATAAATAAAATGTGTCCCCCGAGGATGTACTAGTTGAAATATATCTCCTTAGAAAATTGAGATTTCTACATTTGTCATTGGAATATGGCAACCCTGTAAAAATCGACATGGATAAGGAAAGGGGAATCGGCCGATAAAATATGAGGTAGTAATAAGAATGGTAATGGATACTCGATAAGGACTGGCTGAAAAACCGATCGTTTAAAGTTTAATCCTTTCAGAGACATTCTGGACTTTCTATCCATTTGTCTTATCTTTTATCGTTTATCTAAATGTGCTACCATAATAACTATTATATATATATATATACAATGCAATCGTTTACCTCCTGGTTACTTTTCGGACCATTATCCTCTGCGACTGATGCGAAGGTATAATTTGCTGCGGTAACGGCAACTGTGTCTGGTAAAACATGGACGGCACACCGCCGCCGCCCCCGTCGCCGGTGCCGAACGCTTGGTTCGCGTACGCGTACCTCTGATCGTCTTGGTCGACCACCTTCGGGAACAAAGATTGCAATTAAAAGAAAACCTGATCGGCAGTCGTAAAAAAGCATTCAGGCATTTACGAAGTTTACCCGTCCGTTGGTGACAATTTGCTTTGGCGCGGTCATGGGCGACCGCATCGACTCGGGGAAGAAGTGTATGGCTGTGGATGTCTGCGGTTGATATCTGAGTATCAACACACACGTCGATACCAGCGTATAGGCAAACAACGTGCCTTCGGTCAACACAATTTACACGTGTATTAATAGTTTGATAACAAAAACAAAATAAAAAAAAATTTTTTTTAAATTGTACCTAATGCATTTTCAAAAAAAAAAAAAAAACAATAACATTTTTACCCAGACGGTGGGTTTTTTTTTTAGTCGACCTCAAACAAAATGTTTCTAGGTGGAAAAATTAACCTCCAAACACAATATTATAATAATAATATTGGAGTACTTACCGATGGACATCATCTCGATAAGAGTATCGAGATTGATGACCAACGCGGCTGCCGCGGACGCCACTCCCGACAGGATGGTCGCTATCAGAGGCGTACCGGTCAGTGGGAAAATTTGACTTAGTGATCTATAACGGATTTGGTCGGTATATTATCAATTTTATACGAACAGAACTCGTGTGTGTGTGCTTTGAGGAAACTCACTTAAACAGCAGTCCGTCTTGTGCCATCGAATAGATTATCCTTGGCATTGGAAACATGGACCCAAACATGCTTACCAACAGACCGGCCATCGCTCCGGCAGCCACTATCATCTGACACCGAGGTGCGCCCACTTGTACGAACATGTCCAACAAAGCAGCGTTTTCATCGATTTTGTTGTACGGTACTGTATATTACAGTGAAAAAGAAAAAACTAATTAAACTTCAATACATTCCAACGATAGCATTATATGGATCATAGTCCAAATTTTGACAGATCTAAATCAGGTAAGTTACAGCTTAGGTATTGTTAAAAACTCATGCTAACCGGAAGATGTTATTAAAGATAATATATGAACATAAATCATATAACCTAACAGTATCGATGACATTATTTAATCAAAAAAGGTTAACCAAGACGTAAGACTACCTAAATAAATAGTTATTATGTTCAATAACTGTATCATAAATAGTGGAAAGTAATAACTACTATATATAATATTATATATCTTATAGTCATAAATTACCACATACAAAACTAAAATAGTGCGACGTGCATGTTCCGTGTTGATAGAAGTTAGAACCTTTATATCAGGATCGTAAAATAGTTTTATTACTTTACTGGGTGGCCGTTATGGGGCACATTCGATTAGCCGGAAGGCAATAAACGTTTTTCTAATGAACATTATAATAGAAACAGTTTTATCGACTCTAAAAATGTATTAATGTCTTTATCGATTAAAATAACATCTAATGCCCATTATTTAGGATATATATTATGTATAAATATTTACAAAGGTATATGACGTGTTTTAATTAAATGCATTCGTAGCTTAAAATTGAACTTATGAGTATTATATATATGTGACCTACTAATTGGGTCTTTTTTTTAGGCATTTAGTTGCCACTTAAAAAAAAAAATGTAAATACTTCTAAATTATAACTAAAAACTTATTATATTTTAAGGTACTTTGACCTAAATAGAACAATAGAAAAAGGAAAACTCTAACAGGCGTTTGTCTGGATTTAAGGGTCAGCAGCACTAAAAGTTTAGATTAGATCAAGTTAGAAGGGATAGGTTTTACTTGTTTTCTTTGGAAATAGTTGACTAGTTTGCATGTGGCGTGGAACATCGTATAAGGAGTATTTTGTTGTTTAACATTTGCTGATTGTCCTGTTTTAATAAAGTGTATAAGTTTGAACAAAAAAAATGTTGGAAAGCGCCAGGGAGATATGAAATTTAAATAAACAGATGTAAAACAGAACATTTAACGTTTGAAAATAAAAATCTAAACAAAATCATAAAAAATGATACAAGTTTAGCATAAACTGAATAGAATTAAGGACGATTGTGGTTTGCGATTTAAAAGTGAAGGAAAATAAGTTTGGTTTGGTTAGTTTTTGTTAACCTATGCAAATTATTTTGCAAAAAAAAACTGACTTGCCCGTAGCGTAGTGTTAATATTAGATAGAATGTAATGGAAGTGAAAAACTTACCGATTAAAGTTAGGATTATCGACGAACTAACGTAGGCGACTAATATTATTATCAGACTAGCCATGATGGCTAAAGGAATGGATTTTTTGGGATTGTGCGCTTCTTCTCCGGTAGTTGCTATGATGTCAAACCCTATAAAAGCATAAAAGCACGTCGCTGCACCTTTGAACACCTGCAAACATATCATGAATGTAGCTCATACAACGGTATTCACGTGGAATGTATTACTCGTGTACACAGAATATAATATTATAATATAACGCGTTTTATACAAAGTAGACAACAGAAAATCTACACAAACTAAAGTTCGCCGCATAATCACTAGCAAAATTAATCAAACTGCAATAATATGACACGCTAAGCTTAGTGTTAATTCTATAATAGACAAATGTTATTAACACTAAGCTTCCGTCGGGTCTTGTTAAGTCGAGAATTTCACATGGGACACATTAACAATATTGATATACCTCCTCAAATTTAGTTTCTAGTGCCATAATCCTAGATTCACAGTTTTTTTGTAATGTATTATTATTATTTTAATATACTGCATCGACTAGATGCATGGATAGATTTAAGAGGATAATGGTTAATACTAAAAATTACTCTAAAAATATGTAATTAACTGGTAGAACAGAAACTAAAATGTCTAGTTCATGATGACAGAGTTGGGTCTTCAACGGCTGTTAAGCTAAATGATGATGATGATGGTGAATGAGAGATTTGAATAATTTCAAAATACAAGAGATATGATTATTGTTTTATACTCACGCCTCCCCAGCCGTTCGGGAGAAATCCATCGTTTTCAATCCAATTATCGATGTTGACATAAAACAGACCGGCACTCATAAGAAATATCCAAGCTGCTAGGTTGATGGCGTTCATCAAATGGTTGAACATTAAGCTCTTTTTTACACCGGCGGCTAATAGAACCATCATTAACAACGTGATTCCAGCCGCCAAGAGATCAGGTTTGCCTAAAACACACACAATTTCTTCAATCAAACTTACAACGTTTTTACCTATTACCTCACGGCCGAGACCATTATCAAAGTAAATAACAGTATATTAGGCAAAAAAAATAAGTATTTATTTATAATAACAGATTGCAACGTATTGTTTCTATTGTCACAAGTATCTATTTCTTCCTCCTTTTAGATACTTGGTCAGACAAATGCATTTGTTATGTTCCTGATAAAATAAAATTCAATTTCGACACACAACTTAAATCCTCCCCATCAGAAGGAGCGAAATTATTTATTTTTCAGCTTGTACTGTAGTAGCGATTTTGGCGGAATTCGACTGTAAACAGGTTAAGTGGTAAAGCAGTAAAAATCTGTCGTCAACATTTTTTTTTTATTGAGTAAACCCCATAAAAACTGCAAAATGTTTCTTAAAACCCCATTCGAGAGGCTTTTATAACGATTGTATCGACACTATAAGGATTTATTTCCGCCATTGGAAAAATCACAAGTCTTTCGTGGAAAATGATTTCCAGATGTGTCATGTCTGATGGATAAGACAATCCCAATCATTTTTTTTTTTTATTGTTATTTTCTTTAGTTACGATGCGTGGTTGTTTTGATTCATTTTATTATATATTTTTTAACGGTTGTGTTGATAAAATATAAACGATTTCTTAAAAAAAAAAACTGCTCTGAGTCACGCAAACATTTCTTCGTAGTAGAAACGGCACAAAAAAAACTATTATGCGGCACTTATACTTGAAATAATAATAAAAATAACATAATTGTTATACCATACGCAATAATATTAGGTGCCATAAATTTATTATGAAACGTCACGCGCAATACACACTACGGTTTGTCGGTGCTTCCGTTATGTTTTTAACTTGAGATTTGTTTTTATGTTGTTCGTGTTAACAGCACGGACACTCCCGAATAGATTGTTTCGAGACTTATTAAATCGCTCAAGTTTTATTGACAAAAACCCTTTGTTTCGCTCTTTTAGACATTAGTCAACCTTGACGTTTCCCGTTCGTTGGTGGTCAACTTAAATTACAACCAGCAAAAAGGTCAATAACCGTCGACGTGGACAAGGCTTAAGGTACTCCGACCGGTCCGCGGCTGATACCGAATTTCCATACGCGTGAAAAACCCAATTATGCAAACAAAAACAAAAAAGGTAATTTAAAAAAAACAATAGAATAATGTAATTCGAATTATGCGCGCTGTGCACTCGACCTGAAATTCTGTATTTACATTGATATATTCTGTCACACAAATATTCCACAAAAATAATAAATAAAAGTTTTTTTTCAGTTTTTATTCAATACCGCTGCAGCTACTAGAATATATAATCTGTTCAAAAAAATACTTTTTTTTCGAGATTGTTATTGATCATGAATCGCCGCCCTACGTCATTGTGTTCCCAGAGGAGAAAAAGTTATTTGCCAAAACTACTTTTGATACACACAAGAATATAGTTTTTTTTACCCCGAGGATTTGTATTCCGTGTGTTACTACACTATGAATAAGGTTTATATAAAAAAAAAATTATACTGAATATCAGATGTCACAATGAAAAAAAACACAAACATTTGTAAAAATAATCACACAAATTTTAAAATCGTTATTTTATAATATTGTTACTTATTTATTTAGCGTCGTTGCAACAGTTTAGATAGGAATACATGCAGGCAGTTAGGTAATTTATTAAACATTTCAATTTAATTTGACGAAAAATAACGAGTTACAGTTTTCAACTGTCCGTTGTTCGGATTGAGTCAAAATTTAATCGATTTAAAAGGTTTTTTTTTTGCTACTAATATGAGTTTATTTTTTTTCGTTATCGGTTATGGTTTTGTAACTACATACAAAATCATTTTTAAGCAAATTGTATTTTTGAAATTGCTGACTAGTCTTATATATTATAGAACTCAGTTATAGTAGTGATCAAGGTAAGAAATTAAGAATATTTTTCATTATTATTAACAAAATACCTAAAGTGTAAGTTGTTTTTCATGATTTTCGACATCATGTAAACATATTTCTATAGTAACTTTTGAAATATGTTTTTGAAAGCATTATACAAAGCAATATTTTGCAACACAATGGTATGTTCGAGAAGTATTCGAATATCAAAAAAACCAATTTCAAAAAACTCATTTACGTTCATAAAGAAATGTCAAAATTACATTTTTATCATTCAACGTTATAATATTTCCAAGTATCATTTTTATTTATTTATGATTTTTTATAATAACTATATAGTTTATTAAATGCCTTCCTGGTAAATTACATGCATTCATTTAACTTCATATGGAAATAGTTTATTGCAATTTCAACGGTCACATTTTAGTGCATACGCCCATCAAAATAACTCAACATAATAAAAGCAAAATTAATTTTAAAACTTCAGTGTATATTATATTAAAAATAAGTCAGTATCGTCTTTCTTGTCTGTCTAAGAAATCATTAGAAATTTGAAAATGATAAAAATTGCTTTCAGTAATAATCACTTTGATAAAAAATCTGTGATTAAAATGAATTACCCGTTTTAAATATTTAATTTTTTTTTATCAACCAGAACCATGCGTTCCTAACAAAACGTTTTTTTAAGTAATTTTATCATTGTGGATTTTTGTTAGTATCATAAAACGATGGCCGTGCTGAACACGGTTTTTCGACTATAATGGAGAGTGGGGAACTATCGTTTCAAATTACCGATAAATTTTGTGTTTACAATATTGTCGATATAAACTTGAGTTCACTCATTATTACTTTGTTGACTCGTTAAAGCAAATCAAATGAAAATAAATATTCGTTTGACCCTTTCAACCCAATTATATGGTTGGGTACATTAACTGTAATATATTCTGACCAATACCGTCATGGTATTTTGTTAAGGTAAATAATAACACTCATGAAACGTAATTAACCCGCTACGAATAATAGCCAAAGAAATAAAAACAAAGGTACGGATTTTACTATTTTCAAACACTTATAAATATTAAAATAAAGCACTATTGTAGTAAAACGCTTCGCTCGACTTTCGTTGTAAAAATAATATAAGCCTGAAAATTGTCTTTTATACATTTTCCATGTCAATATCTTAAGACATCAGTTGAAAAACTAATTCAATTTATTTTAATGTCGAGGTCTGGCAGATATTTATGATGAATAAAATCATTTTTGCCCTGTCCGTGAACGAAGCGTCTTCTCAACTTCAAGTCGTTATAACTTTGGATTTAAAAAAAAAAATTGATGGATGTTTTAGTTCCTTAATGTTATACTTTCCCTCATATATAAATACTTACCAAATAAGCACTTTAAACTTTTGAAACTATCTAGTAAATGGCCTAATCAGTCGTTGAACTCTAAGCCTTTATAGTGTTTGGTCACCGTATTATCATATAAGTTACTTAAGTTTGATCCGAAAAGATGTGCGTTATCGTCGAGACCTAGTACCATATAAACATGACGCTTATCTCATTGTTCAGTCTTGCCCACAGTTTTACAAGTTAAACTTGGAACGAAACCAAAACATTTGTCTTATATTTCTTACAATTTCGAACAACCAATACAGTACTTAACTTCCAAAACTTATATAATGTAAACGCGAAGGCCAATGTATTTTATTTGTCTAATTATTATTATAGGTCGATACAGCTGTAGTTTAGTAAATTTAAAATTCACATCCTTGAAATAATTTTCGAGTTAAGCACTAACAGCCAATAGGCATAAAAAAACATATTTTAAAACTGATGTTTAATATTTATTTTAATTTTTTTTATAGTAATACAACTATAATAACTATATTCTTTTATATATTCTACAAACATTTTTAATCAGGTACAAATTTTAGTCCAAATTTCAGCTCTCAAGTCCAAAATCTGCACCAAAAATAAAAATAAAAAACTGGTTAGATTTTATAAAATACAAACACAAGCCAGCCAGTTAGTTCAGTTATAAATTATGATCATACACAGATGAATGTTATATATTTAGGGTTAAAAGAATTCCTCGAAGCTCATAATTTTCATACAAAACAAATGGATGTGTGACTTTTTATTTGCGATACAAAAAAAAAAGCCTAATACGACTCATTTTAAAAACGATAAATCTCTGACAAACACTTATTCAAACTACATTTATCAACTGCTAAAAATGATACGCATATAAAGAAACATTATTATATAATATGAAATACTTAATCATTTTAATATCTTTAAGGCTCTCCTCAAGTGACATTCTACGAGTGACGATCATTAACAATCCCATAATAACGTTTAAGTCGTACAATTATCATTTATAACCTTCGTAACTAATTTTAGTAAAAAAAAAACACAAATTTAGGCATGTCCGGTTAAACCCAATTATCTCGGGGTAAGCGTGACAATGGTACTAGACAGAAAACCCCTTTTCGCCGGCACAACAGGACAAATGCAATTCGCCTGACATATTTTTTTGTTGTTTAAACAAAAGCGAACCCAAAATATTAGTTACGATAAGTTCGCACCGAATGTCAAAAATGTACACAACAAAATAAAATATTACAATTGAACGGACCAGAGGCGGTAAAACGTTTTAACGTCAAGTACATAAATTTAAAACAAAAATGTAATTATTCCTTTCTGCAACCGTTGCACTATAAAACAGTGAAATTGAATTTAATCGATTTGGCTACAAAACTTTCACAGTATAATATATAGTAGGTGTTAAGCTGATTTATGAATTATAAACGTTTGTTTGTACTTTTAGTTAATTAAATACAATTCAAACCGAGATAGTCAAATGGATAACTACGAGAAATTGCAACTCCTGCGCGTTTATGTTTGTAAATGTATGCACAGGTATTTCAGTCTGTAATTAACATAATGAACAATGCAGCGTTAGGGTTGCCTTTGACGGCGCTTTTATGGTGATTCGGCGAATCCCACGCAAGAAATTAAAATCGCTCTTACACCACCACCCTCTTATTTACCAAACGTTAGCTGTGAACACAGTTCACGATTGTTGTTACCGGGATTCTCAGGAAACGTAAAATAATTATATAGTCAATGAATTCCGGATATTTTCTTAGTAGTGTACCGAATTCTTATCGTACCTACTTACAATGAACTTTTTCATTTGATTCGACTAACGATGAAAAAAAAAATCAAACTGTGTCTTCACTGGTTTGAATAATATTTTTTAAAATTTGTATGGGAGTGGATACGCAAATAAGAGGTAAAAATGTCTTAAAGGACTTAGGTCGATAGATTCGCCGTTTAAATATAATAACGATTGAACGTCGGAGGTTCGAAAATTATAGAGCACAGTTAAAATTATAAAGAATTTACACCGTAACTTTTATAAAATATGTATTTCGTTGCAACATCATATTACATTAATATTTGAAAGGATAGTCTGATAAAGGATTACATTCAGACTATACATATCCGTTCTAACAATATTGACCCCTTTATTGTTCTGTATCTATTGTTTGTCTTTCATTAGAACAAACAAATTTAATTACAGATAGATTAAATGCAATATTAATTTTGTCCGGCAAATCAAACTACTCCATAAACATACGGTTAATAACAAAACCAAGCAAGGTCGGAAGCGAAAATTAACTATTTTCAATCGCAGTAGTGTTTATAATGCAAAAAAATTAAACTACATAAACGTTAATAGGTAGGTGCATACTTTTTGTACAAGCTACAAAACATATTTTCACGTTGACACAATGCTACATTTTACTTTGGATAACTTCCACGATTATTAGCTGATATCATATCGCCGTACTCGTTTGGTTACCGGATAATAGTCGTTCCGTTAAACAAGTGAGCGGGTTTTCAACGAATGTATATTGTATAGCGAGTGTGCCCGGACGAATCACAGGTGCGGTATTGTACTTACAAAAGTACACAATGGATTTTAACGAGCGGGGATTAAGTAAATTCGGTCGACCACCTTAATTACTCGACGGACTAGGAGGTAGTTAAGCCCGTATAATTAAAATATATAAATATATACCTACACAATTTACAATAATAATTATGTATTCGAGAGGACCGTAGTTATTCGTTGGATTGCGTTATGATCGTATTATTCTACTATGCACTTCACGGTAATTAATTTCAAAAGGATAACAGTAACACAACCAAAAACCACCACTGCCCGTTCGTCTGTCGATCGGCTATTATTTTTTTTTATTGTTCTTACCTAAAAAGCCAACAGCGCTCTGGACGGACGCGCTGATCGCCCCGTTGGCCAAAGAGTCCAGACTAGCACTTAGGGCACAAGCACAAGCCGAAGTCCCGATGAGGTACTCGAGGACCATATTCCAGCCGATGAGAAACGCTATGAACTCTCCGACGGTCACGTAGCTGTACATGTACGCGGAACCGGATGTGTTTGGCACTCGGACTCCGAATTCGGCGTAACAAGCGCCTAGAAAAAACACCAAAACGAAACGTTAATGAAATCCACAAGGGTGGAATTGAATTAAAAAAAAAATTATCGTGAATATTGGGAAAAAATACAATCACTCTAATGTCTCCTTTTCCATCACACGAGAACAGTATGGTAAAAGTACCCAAGAAAGTGGTTAAACTCAGTGATCAAAGCACTAGGACCCTCGGCTGAAGACGCTGAATAATTTCAGATCCAGTCTGGGTCTCTTGGTTGTTATATGTTTTATTACTTATTGTTTCCCATCGGGTTACTGGATTTCATAAGGGTTTCCATTTAAAGGCTTGATTTTTTGGGGGGAAAAAAGAATACCTACTAGTATTTTTTTTTTCAACAAACCGTCAAAATAATATTGAAATCGATCTAATAGTAGATTGAGAAAAAGTTTCATAAATGGAAAAAAAAACTATTAGCCACATTAGGGATATCTGATATTATAAATATTGTATATATATATAAGACACCTTTTGTCTAAATTTTGGACCTTGAATTTAATAACTACAACTAAAGTAATAAAACAAAAGTACTAGACAGTTGCATAATCCCAGTAAATTTATGCCTCTCATAAAATTTGATAAACGTTTTGGAAAATTATTTATTTATTTCATAGGTATCTCTACCATTGATGAAAACCTATAGTGTTAGTACCCCTCAGAAATAGAAAATTTAGCTAAGCAACGACATAAAGAATAATACATACTGTGATATTAAGTTTATTATTATTTTGATTTTTGTTGTTTATCGAGGCAAATTATTATGTTTTCCACAAAAATTGTTTTCATGTCAACACGAAGGAATAACAACGATTTCAAAAGAAGTCAATCCAAACCCGTTTTTTTTTTATTTAATCCGCTTTTTTTTTGTAATATTCAATTACGACTTTTTTATGTACTTTGCCCGTAATAACATGACAGAAAAATAATCAATTTAAAGCTAAACCAAATCCCTTGTGTGTCAAATTGATATCAAGAAACTGTCGGATGACAGATGATGACGGGTACGACAAGTTCGATTGAGCGGAAACCAAATTAAATCCGGTTCGTAGACAGTCACCCCATTGAATATATTATTATTATTATTATAATTCAATATTGTATTTCTGTTGAAAAAATCGGTTGTAGGATTTGAAGCTGCTCGCCATAAAATAATGTCCAACGAGACCTTTAGCATTGAACCACAAATGGGCTTGTGCAAAGAAACCGTTACTGTTGGCTAACATTAATAATATTCATTGTGTTAATAATCGGAGTGGTAAAGTTGTGTTAATGCTTCGATTACTCACCAGAAAACAGAGAAGCTACCGCTGCTATAATGAACGACAAGACAACAGCTGGGCCGGCGAACCTTCTGGCCACTAATCCGGTCACTACGTACATACCGGTGCCCAAACAAGAACCTACTCCCAATGAGGTTAAGTCGACGGTGTTCAAACATTTCTGTTGACAAAACAGGGAATACACATTTAATATTATTATATTAAGCGAATACACATTACATAATATTACATAATTTAATTAAGAATAAGATTGTACGCCACAACAGTCAGCATGCGACAGCGTGGTAACAATAAATTTAAAAAAAAAATGCAATTCTCTGAGTGCATTGACAATATTATGGAAAACTAGTTCTGGCAAGAGCTGATATGCATAACTCGGTCGTAATCGGTTAATGATATCGGCTTGAAATTATCCACTCACAGCTTATATCGTGTAAACTGCGCGACCATAAGTCCTCTTATTATAACATTAGTGGTGTAGTATGAGAATTTCACCTAAAACCCGCTACAGTTGTAAAACGAATGGTTTTATCCATTTTTCGTGCATCAAACGACATCTTGATCAGTACAAAAAATGATACAATAAACATTTTTTTAATACTACAGATAAGTAAATTTTACATTTTTTCTAGGCTTTCTTGTAGAAAGATTCAATTGCGTTGTTGTTCACTACCGAGAGTGCCTTGCACGGTGTCTACGACAATGCGGATATTATAGCAAAATTATAAGCATACTGCATATATTACATAGTGAAATAATGGCCGGCCAAATCGTTTGCGAAAGAGGCACGCTGAGAGTTTTGTCGTTTACTCGCGTACAACGAGGTCTATATTGTTAATATTGCGTTTATTGTACAAAGCAGATGTCCTGCGGCGAATGTTTGAAAATGCGATAAGACTTTAGAAAGCGGGACGCTCGTGTGAAAAGAAAAATATATAAATCCTCAGCGGTTTTACCGATGACAAAAAACACCGACTACCGGGGTGAACGGGTAGACTCTACACGTCGAGAGCTTAAGGCCAACATAGCACGCGTAAAGTGACATTTTTTTTTCCGGAATACTCGTCACAGACAGTTTTGGCGAAAACCGACTTAACCGCCGTGTACACTTTTGTCTGACGGTTTCTATAGAAGAAAAAAAAACATGTTTGAATAAGGTTTTTTTTATTTATTTCAAGTGCGGGACAACGCGATTGAAATATTTTTATATATTTCATTTATTGATTGAACGCCACCGTCGCTCTTCTTGTCGACGACTGGGTTTGACGTGACACTGGCAAACGGTACCCAAAATGTGGTCAAGGCGGCAAAACCCCCAATTATAAGACAAGTTACACTTTGGCGACAAGTGTGATTCCGTTAACGCACAAAAAGCAAAGGGCCGAGATTGGATGGATTTTTAGGGTCGGGAATAATTTTTTTCCGGCCTCCCAGAGGTATGGATTAACTAGAATTACCCGGCAATCTGCCGTTCGTCGGTGTCTGTATAAATCATTTCACGTTTTTTTTTTTATTGGATAGCAAGCAACGAGATGAATATTTATGTTCGCACCTGTTGGGACAACCGTTTTCCGTATAATAAAATTGCCAGATTGAAAAATTATAATTTTTTTTCGCCCGGAACAAAATTAAAATCAACATTGCGTATACGACCATCGGAGAGATTTATATTTTACATTACCTATTAAATAAGTACAGTTAGTAGTTATATGGAAATTTTCAACTGGATAGCACTACATAATATACAAGGAGGACAGTAATTTATGCTATTAAATTTATTTTTTTTTAAATAAAATTACTTATACTAAGAAATTAAAAATATTTTTAACTAGTTAAACTAAAATTTTTAAATTAGTCTACTTAAATTATTATTTTAAGGGTAGTTTTAGAGAGTTATCTTTAAAAGTCAAATAGCAACATACTGTTGTACTTAATTTACCTAATAAAATGTATGGCTAGCCGATAACAAGTTTTGAATAACTTCCCGAGTTCTTGGCGTTTAAAGTTGGTCGCTTTTTTACTTTAATCCAAAACTACCCTTTAGGGTAATTTTTTTTTTTCATCTGGAACACTAAAAACTTTTGTTGAATATTTAATATAATTAAGATAAATTTGGTACGGTTTTAACTGAAATAACTATTGAGTGGAAAAAAATTGCTGTTACATGACATTTCTATCGCCATTTGTGATGGCTAATTTTAATGCGAGGCGTTCGGGTACAAGTTCAAGTTGTCCAGTTAACAAATTGCACAGTACACTTGCCGCACGTTAATCGGCAACGCAACATCCAAAAACAAAAATCCAAATAGCTTTGGGTAATGTATTTGTATATCGTAAACACCATTATCGGCGGTTCCGATTAAAGGGGCTTGGTTCGCATCGGATACAGTCGAACAGTATTTAAAACAATACAATCAGATAATAGCCGTTGACAGGCGGGACGGGCACTGATTCGCATTGATCGATTCGACCGAAATTAAACTGAACGTTTACACGCTACCAATAATAAATAACAATTACAATCGTTTGGCGATATTGAATAACAAAGTGCGGGCAAAAACAACGCAAACCCAAAACAGTAACACTTAAATGGCTATCATTAGAGTACGCATAATAGTATACACAGTTATCAGGGGTATACATGTTTAGTAGATTTTGATCTTCACTGGTCGGCAACCGGTTTTATTTCAGTTAGGTCAGGTGTTGGCATAGTTGCACGATTATCGATCACCCTGTGGTGTACAATTCGCGGTCGTTAATGCGACCCGTGCTATTCCGGAAACCTATATATATATAATAATAATTTAACTAACGAAAACAAACGGTATTATTCGAGTAAAGAAAACTAACACAACGTCCGTTTGTTACGCGTGACGTATTATAATAATAATAATGATAACAGTATCATCGTAGACAATACGCCGAAATAAAGTGTAAAATAAGAAAAACGGCGTATCATCATAAAATAATACCCAAAACGAATGTTGTTAAAATAAAAATGGCGTTAAAAGAAAGAAAATAAAGCGCGAGCGCTCGTCTCGTTTATATTCCCAAAGGTAAACAGAAATGAAAACACTATCTGATGTTTTAGCGAAAAACCCCTATTCCGAAGATAAACAGTATCGCTATGTGCAGAATAATAATACACCTACATAAAAAAAAAAAAAACCACAGCTCGATATTTTTATTTGTTGATATACGAATAAGGGAAAAAATAATAACACATTAACAATACTCGAGGTGCACGACCCGTCGACACCGGTGTAGCAAGATTGCCTAAGCAATGCGCCGCGTTATAAAAAAAATCCATACCGTCCAAAAACCTTTCTAAGACAATCATAATACATAATTACGGTGTCGCTTTTTTTTCATCGATCAATACACACAAAAAGCGCGGTAAACTCCGTTATTGTATTGTTACTTTTGTAAGAACCAATTAAACAGCTTTCTACAATAACCGCGTTGGCCTTTTATCGCTTCGGCGACTGTTTTTTAAAATGTTTTCTGACTAAATTCCAGTCAATTGCAATTGTAACGCTCACAAAAGGGTAAAAAATAAATGGCCAACAATATACAAAACAATTATTGTTCACGCTAATAACACTATAAAAACATGTTCGACTCATTTTGAAAGAAAAATTATGTTTTATCAAGTCTAGCTAATTGCTTTTATAGAGTCCAATAAGTTTGGAAATAGTACAGCAGAATTCCTATTGCATTAAACTGGGTTTTAATTAGCATTTGTTTTTTTTTTCAATTCCGATATGAAAGAGAACCGCCGCTTTTGAGCGTTCAAAGTTTCTATAAAAAATAAATATTCCAATTAAATTGTAATCCATTGCTAGACGGTAGTCCGCGTTGCTGCTATATTATAACTGTTTATTTCCAGCAAATATGCATTTCAAAGAAAATCTGAGAAATATTGTGTTCTATAAACTTTGTAGATTGTATTGATTTTGTCGGGTGAAGTAGTCTCCCACAGTATATTCAGTTTTAAGTGGGCTTTTAATTAATTTCTATATTAAGTAATTGTGTACTTTGCGTTTTGAGATATGTGAAGTATATACCGTGGGTTGACGAGTACAGTATGTAAATTTAATATTAGTTTCGAGATATTCAGATTCGTATAGCAATGATATTTGTAGATTATGGATGTTTATTTATACATGTATCCGGTACGGTAACTAACTAATGTGTATATTGAAATACCTACATAGGGTGCACTCATAGGTCACTCTCTATTGAAACATAACATTTTTTTTTTTTATAGAATTCGATAAAACGGAGTAGGCAAAAGTATATATGTATAATATTAAAGAAACGATTAAAAAAAAAAAAGATAATAGTATATAGTATTACTAGTGTTATATAAAAAAAATTCATAACTACTTATTTGTTTTCCTTTGATATTATGCGCTCGTAGGCACACATGAAAGCAGTTTTTTGCAATGTGCACACGCCTGTATAGATCGGAAATAGGACACGTTCGTACTACTTGAAAACGGATATTGGCTAACGTGAGATCTTTTGCATTTATTTGAAAGTAACGTACGTCTATAAATATTATATACTACAATCGAATACTTGACAAAATATTCCGTACATCACAAACAAACAAACAATTTGATATGCCTCAGGATGGATGATGACAAGCGAAAACGTTGAAATTTATTTTTAAGAAAGAGAGAGAAAGATTTACATTTTATGTATGTTTTGAGATCATTTTGCTACAGCTATAGTTGGCATTTAAAAACAAAATTCGCATCAAATATTGTATCAATAATATATTACAAAACCATTTTAAAATCAATCATTTTTCTCGTTGAAATTCAAGTTTTACTTAAACGAGGAAGGTTCTGTGAATTATTTGAAACTTATAACTTGTATTGTATTGAGTGCCAACAATTTCCATCCATCCGACGAGTAATATTAGCAATAAATATACCAATTTATTGAGATTCGCTGGATATTTGCACGATACAAATACTAGGGGGTATAAGTTTAAAAAAAAAATGTCAGTAATAGTAATCATTACTAGCTGATGCAATAACTCAATATTATTGTCCACGCGTTGCCAGTCAATAGCTATAAAATGGTGGTTTAGTAAACAAACACATAAGTCACTGTATTTGCAACCTTAAAGTTTACACTGTTGAATAAATACATTTTCACACATTTTCGTGTAGCTTTTATTTGTATTTGTTTTTTTTTAGTTCTATTAAACTGAAGAGCAGTCGAGTTTCATTTTAAGAACTTGACGGGAATTTTGTATTATGTTAAACCGATCAACACAAACATGGAAATATTCAAATCACACATTTTTCGATTCCTCTGGGATGTTTTTTTTTTAAGAAAACAAAAAACTTTACTACTGAAAATAGTTATCACATTATCCCGTGTGCGTGCGTGGAATTCATTAAATACATCACAACAATTATTGATTGAAAAATATATATATACTTTTTAGCATAAACGAGGATGTCGTAGCTATTCAGTCAATTAAATTGGTCAAAGTAAAATAAAATAAAATGTACACAATTGGATTAAAAATGAAATAATATTATTCAAGGAATGTGCATTTAATTTAAAAATGTAAAACGCCAAAGCCTTTCAAAGTGGTTTTATATAAAAAAAGTTACAGAGAGTTAATTGAAAACAATTTTTTTTTCATTTTTTTATCAAAAATACATAAATAAATACCGAGTACGACTGCTTTCCAAGATAATTGTATGGACAATTTTTCAGTTTCGTTAATAGGGCAAGACTTACAATATCTTCTTATATTAGTAGCACGTGTTTATTTTGTACAACTCCTATTCGGCACACCATATTTTTTTGAACATCATTAAAAAACCAGCAGTTAAAAAAGGTTTCGGCATCCAATACTTTTTGCAACGTACCTTTAGCTTTGTTTGGTGATGGGGATCGTATCTTCCCGGCGGGGTAGATTCGCCTTGAAGGTCGTCCAAGTCTTTCGTCCTAACCATGCGCGAGACGAGAGCCAACCCATCTTTCCTGAAGTCTGCCGGCAATTTTGGAATTTCCATGTTGGTGACTTATCACAGCTAGTTTGTTTTCAGATGACCTAAAACAAAATGAATACGTTTCAATATGAATAGGTACACTTCAAGAGCAATTAAATCATTTATCGGTAAGTTTTAATTTTTAGGTTTTACAATTAAATGTTGTTTCGGTTTTTGTTTATGTGACCACATAATATTGTTACGGCTATAAAGGCGATTAATCTTTTAATGGCTAGTCATCACGTGTAAAAAGAAAATGCCGCTTTCAATCATTGATATTTTTTAAGATAGTATGCTCGTATAAACTCTGACGTCATCGCATTCATTGATCCGATACGGCGAAATAGGTGCAACACGCATATTAGTAAACATGACATAATATATGCCCTTGTCATTTTATAAAAAAAAAAATAACATTGTGTGTATTCATGTTTAAAAAAGCTAAAAAATTATCGTTCAACACGAACCACAAAAAATATTCAAAATATATTATTGAGCAGGCATTTTTGATATTATAGATGGCTCAGTTGGATATTATATGGTACCTTGAGTTGGTCTCATAATAGCAAAAGACTGACATCAAATGCACTGACTGTATTCTAATGTATGACAAAACTGTCTCTTCTTGTTTTTTTTTTTTTTGTTCACTACTACGGGGCCCTTACCATATTACTTAGGAGTTGAGTTCTTTGTGAAGTATGTAATTTTTATGAATAAACATTATTTAAAAAAGGTTTGAAACCCTTTAGCGTCCATAAATGTCATTACTGTCAAAGTGACGACAAACGCGTTGCTTTTTTCGTTACAACGTCACGTTTGGGACAAACATTAAAAAAAAAAAACATAACTTGATGATGAAAAATATGACTTCAAACATCTTCTTTTTTTTTCTTTGTTTACTATCCCTCTGCCATCGTTGTTGCGTTATTAATTTACACAGTTTCCACTGACGTTCATTTCTATGTCACGCGCACTTGGCCTGCTCCGATTGCGACAATCTTACCCTTGTGTATGCGTAGACCAAAGCATTTTGTTTTTTGTGTGCAAAAAAAAGTATTAAACAAAACCTTTGTAGCGTCGAGTGTTTCCGTTCCGCAAAGTAGTTTGGCTAAAGTACTACAATAGAGGTTATTAAGTATCTAAAATAGGACATAGAAATGTTTATGACTCAAACGCACAAGTATCTATTATTCGAAACACAATAAATTCAGCGTAAAAATTCTGTTGTTTCATAATATTCTACGACAATATTATATTATATTTTAATTAAAAATTCACCGGTGCTTTTATAATTCTCGAGTCATAATATTTTGTAACACTGGTTTGTAAAACTCTGATAATAATGTTTCGGTATAAGAAGACTTAATGCGATTATGTTAAGTATTGAAGCGTGCTTCTTAAAGTGATTGTCTGAGCGCCCGTTCGTTGTTTGTGTATATTTTGTTGGACATTGTCAACAGCTCTTTTAAAGTTTACTCTGTAATACAGAGAGGTTTGCCTTTACACAGCGCAGTGCAACCAACTGAATATTTGGTGCATTCGACAACACTATGACCTTTATCGCTACACTTAATGCAAAATTTCAACGACCCGCGCATAAATATACATACAAATACTAAACAATAAATACATTGACCTGCGCGGCCAACGTCTGAATGGCAGAGTATTTGATTTACCGGGATTGTATGCTGTTAAATTTAACCTGACCTAACATTATTTTTACCCCAGAGAGAGAGAGAGAGGAATAACCATTGACCGTACGCAACAACATCTTATTGCACTCTGCTACGTCGTCCCTCTGAATATTTAATAGTCAATGGTTGGTTGGTTTTCATACTAAATTCTCGAGTTACGGTCTTGAATAACATTTTCCTTCAACTATGTCTTAAGTATGATTAAATTAAATGCACAAACGCATACCATTTTATAATGATCTAGACGTCTACAGATTGGAGAATGGAAAATTGTTTTGACAAAGACAAACTTAACTTTCAATTATAAAAAGTAGAATTATTCTACACTTCAGATATTCAACCACGTTCTTTCAGCGAACCCCTTTAGATCTGACACTGCCATTGCAGGAGCTCCACCGCATACAAGATGGATGTCGTTGATTTAGTTTAACTAGTAAACAGCCGATTTTGTTACATAAACCGTATGGGAAAAAACGCGATACAAAAAAGAAGCCAAAAAAAAAAAACAAGGAAATAATTTTTTTTAGTCTTGTAATACTATTTTCGCTGTTCGTTCTCATTAAAAGTCTATTCCTTTTCAAAGTACGGTTTTCCCGTCATTTCTTGTATTATTTTTGCTCTGTAAATAATTCAATTTCAAAACTAAATTATACGGCAGACACTGCCGCTATTTTCCCAACGTCATTGCACGCAGTCGAGTGATCCGTACATCTTTGTATATTCTATAATCTTATTCTTACCAAAAGCTAGTGCCGGCCATTAACGGGTGCATTTATTTTAACGCGAAACGACGTGCTAAAAACGCAGGGTTAATTTCGTTTGAAAATTCTCTCGCCAAAATCGATAAGACAAGAGAGTCGACGTCACTCAAACGTACAAGACGTTTGTTACGACTAAAAAAACAATGATAATAACGTCTCGGTATGCGTTCAATGTCTGTGTGTATGTCTATACACACCCGCACGGCGAACCTATATATTATATGTTTTATGAATTGGAACGAATTTATTGTCTCGTGCACGACCCGGTGATATTATGAATTTCATCTGCTCGGTATATATGCACATAACCCTCAGGAATTTGTCGTATTGCATTTTTCAATAGTTCGAACGGCAGCCACTACCGGAAAAAGCGTTCTACCACTGCACGTTTTTATTTTAATCAAATGTCCCGGTCGCCAGGTTCGGCAGGCTACACGGATGACCTACATTTTTATCAGATTTTTACCACTCGACAGACACAGCATCATTGCAATAACGCATCACCGCCGGTTGGACCGTGAAAAACAATGTACCAACAATAAAATATACATAAATGGCGTAAACGATTTTGATAATACTTTTTTGTTCGTTTAACATTTAAAAAAAACAAAAAAATAATAATAATAATAAAAGTGGTGAGTATATACATACAAATATGTACTCTTGATCTACAATTTAGCTACCAGTAAATTATACAGGTACTCTCGAGGGTATATATTTTAAGTGTAATAACATAGTATTCAAACTGAGAGTAATAAACCCATAAAGTTCTTCATGTCCGATAAAAATTAAAATTCTCAATTTATCCCTACGGAAGTGCGAAATAATTAAACATACTTTTTATTCAATTATATGAGAATATATAAAATGTATTAATAAAATAACTAATTGCAATTGATCGTATAAACAACGGTACAATTATAAATTATGTACAGCTGTTGCAATACAATTCAGATTTCCATTTAATAATATTATGAAACTTAAATCAAGATTAGCTCGTGAACTGAATGATTGCAAATCCCAAACACAAACCATATAATCTAGAGTAGTTCAAAAAAGCAGATGGGATAATTTATCAGTTCCCCCGTAGCTTGTGTGTGGTACGATAACAAAACCGCAAAAGGAGATGCCTTTTAAAACTACATAACAACCGTATCTTATTACGGTCGGTTGAACAATACCAGACATTGATTAAACATAGAAAACGTTTCGGTTGCCTCGGGGTATTAAGCAAAAGATTCAGTTTGCTTTTGAAAACAATACATCACAAAGGACTCGACGATACCACACAAAGTAGATGTTTTTAACAAAGATCCGGCAAAAAATAACTCAACAATGGGATCTCTCTTGTTGACCATCTTTATCTTCTTTGTGATATTATACTCTCTCACTTCTAACTATTATTTTCCGGTGCACTTTTATACTATATCTATTTGACTGATTTTTATTGGATCAACGTCAACACCGCTCTTCCTTTCCGGAAGCCAATAATTAGTAATTTCTTTGTTGTTTTATTACTATGCTTTGTTTGGCTATAATACTTTCATATACTATTAACACGAAAAAAATAATAGCTTTGCCCGGAACACATATAACTATTTATTATATTTATGTATAACATTTTTATATGTATTAACTTTACGAACAAAATCTACAAAATTCAATAACAAATAGAATAAATATTAAAAATAGTATATCTTATTTACTTGAAAAAAAAACCGTCATTCGTTTTATTAATTAATCAAATAATAATGTACCTGTTTCTAAATATACAAAAACTTAACTTGATTGCTTGAGTTTAATGAAATATGGGAGTGTTATTTTAACAAATCAATTTTGTCTTGATTTCGCGTTATTAGCTGCGGTTTTTGGAATGGGTTTTAACATTTGACTGGTATAAATCTACAAAATTTCGAAAATCTGTAATCTCAGTTTTTTGGTCATCGAGTAAACCCCAAACATCCTCATAACACGGTTTTAAAATTAGTGTGTTGTACATAAAATGTATTACATGTACATTTAATACACGCTATGTTATCTTTATAGGTCCTCAACGAAAGGGGTTTTGTAGAGTGCTTTCTGGCCTTTCTCGTGTCAGTGTGACATTTAAGTATTCAGTTTATATTTCAGTATTGTTAAACTAGTGTGATGGCCATCGTCTACGGTGACTCCTCAAGACCCGTGACCTCTGCTCGACCACACTGTTCGTTCCAGATGTGAATTATTTGCATAATAATTGTGCAATTATCGTTTTTATCGAAAAATCAAAGCTATTACGGTCCGAATAAATGGGTTTTGATTAAAATTTCTGTTAGTCGCGTTTCTCGTACAAATTCCACGGATCGTACGGCCTGGGTATAGTGTATTAATCAAAAGTCTGAAACCTATTGTTGGTGGTGGGAGACGAAAATGGTGTGTGTGTGTGTGTGTACAGACGTTGGGTAGGTAGACCGAGTTTCCGGTTGCGTGTCAAAAGCATTGTGTTGCTTGTTTTCAGCCACCGGGTCTGTTAAGTAAATTACCAGGCGCAGCCACAAACGGGGGTCGCAAAGGTCAAAATGTGGATTTCGCGATTATTATTAGAAAACGGCGGCTAAATAGCCCGGA